GCACTCCAGTCTGGACGACAGAGTGAGACTCCAACTCAAAAAAAAAAAATAAATAAAATAAAATAAAATAAAATACAGTATACAGGAGGGTGTATGTAGGTTATCTCCAAATGCTACACATACCATTTTATATAAGGGACTCGAGCATCACGGATTTTGGGAGGGAGGGAGGTCCTAGAACCGACCCCCCCATGGATACTGAGGGGCAGCTGTGTATAACTGTAGTCCTTCACTGCCTTGATTTCTCCAAAAATTTGAGCACAAAAGAGTCAGTAGTCCCTAGCCCTGTCTGACATTCTACGATCTACTTTAAGAGGCATTATGAAATGTTCATCCATTCTCATAAAATCAAAACAATTGTGGCCAGGCTCGGTGGCTCAGCCTGTAATCCCGCGCCTTGGGAGGCTGAGGTGAATGGATTGCCTGAGTCCGCGGGTTCGAGACCCACCCGGGCAACTTGGCGAGACCTCATCTCTACAATAAGTCAAAAAAATTAGCCGGGCATGGTAGCACACGCCTGTAATTCCAGCTGCTTGGAAGGCTGAGGCGGAAGGATCGCCGGAGCCCAGCAGGTCGAGGCTGCGGTGGCCGGGAGTGGCCACTTGCACTCCAGCCTGGGCGATGGAGTGAGACTCCAACTCAAAAAAAAAACAAAAAACAAAAACGATTGTGAATGTTTGAAATATCACTAAATACTATTGATAATCTTTTATTTTTATTTATTTATTTTTTTGAGCCAGGCCTCCATTGATAATCTTTTAACCTTAATCCACGGAATAAAGCAATGCTGTCACATCTTTAGAGGGAGAAAAGTGGAGAGATTAAGGAACTCAGAAGAACCACAGAGTGGCAAGAAATCAGTGCAAAGGTTGGAAAGTTTGCTTCTAAGGAGACAAAAAATACTCCGTAAAAATCAAAAAACAACCTTTTGTTCTAAAGAGTATTCTTGATACCGTGTTCAGAGACTGCCCTGGCTGCCACCCAGAGCTGGCAGTTGACAGAGTCCGCTTCGGGGAGGAGGCCGCCTCTGGGGAACCTGGAACCACAGATGCTGATGGCCCCAGGAGGAATCTAAAAACAGGTGAGCTAGACTCCCGGGGAGACCTTCGCTGAGGACCCAGCCAGGGCACCTCCCTGAGCAGCCAGTTTCCATGGCAAAGCCGGCTCATTTACCTTTCCCAGCACTCAGGTTTTGTTTGCAGGCAAATTGTTTAAACAGGCAGAGGACTCAGTTGCCAAGAAACAGCCTATGTCGCCCACTCATTAGTCTGCTGGCAAATAATCCTCCCAAAATCAGTGCAGCAGACTGATGCTGTGGACCATTTCCTACATGGCTTTGCCCTTTCCTAGGGCCTCCCTCATCCTGTCAGAATTATTTCCATGCTGAACTCAGCTGGTTCATATTCCCCTTCCTCTATTTGCTTTCTCAAGACATTCCAGGGTTGAACGGGAGCATCTTAGTCACAAGGAGAAAGGTTATGTGCTAAATTTTGCTTTCAGCCTGGGAACAGTGACTCACACCTGTAATCACAGCACTTTGAGAGGCTGAGGTGGGAGGCTTGCTTAAGGTCAAGGACTGAGTCAGCCTGGGTACATAGCAAGACCACCAACTCTAAAACAATAAATTAAATTTTGCTTTCAGTATCATGAAACTGTTGGCCAGGCTGGAGTGCCGTGGCATGCTCAGGCTACGACAGCCTCAACCTGCTGGGCTCAGGCAATCCTTCCGCCTCAGCCGGAACTGGAACTACAGGTACACAGCATTTTTTTATTAGTGTAGAGACAAGGTACCCGGCTAATTTTTTGATTTAGTGTAGAGACAAGGTCTTGCCAAAGTTGCCCAGACTGGTCCTGAGTCCCTGACCCCTGGGCTCAGGCAGGTGGCGTGAGCCACCATGCCTGGCTAGGATCATGGAACTTTAAAACTGCGAAGGGGAGACTTTTTGTCCCCTTAAAGTTTCTTAAGTGCTTTTACAAGTGTGGTCTGGGATCAGTAATTTCCCTAATACCTGGGAGTGGGTTGGAAATGCAAATTCCTGGGCCCCCACTCAGAACTGCTGCATCAGAATCCCATTGGGAGGGGGTGCAGCAATCTGATTCCAAGGTTGGCCAGTGTGAGAAGCCTGGGGCTATACCACAAAGTGCCACTAGGCGACCACTATGCAGGACCACTATGCAGTAACTTATCAAACTCCATTCAAAGGACCCGAAACCGAAAGTTCTAAAATATTTCTACTAAGGGGTACAAATTCAGGCCAGGTGTGGTTGTTCATGCCTGTAATCCCAGCACTTTAGGAGGCCAGTGGGAGGATTGCTTGAAGCCAGGAGTTCAAGACCCTGTCTCTACAAAAAAAAAATCCAAAAATAAGCCATGGGTGGTGGTGGGTGCCTCTAGTTCCAGATACTTGAGGGGCTGAGGCAGCAGAATCGCCTAAGCCCAGGGGGCTGTGGTGAAGTGTGATGGCACCACTGCACTCCAGCCTGGGAGACTCAAAATAAAATGTACCTATCTCCCTTTCATATGGATGACAAAGGGACCTACACATGAGAAAACTGAAAGCGCTGTTGACCCATCCAATCACTAGTGCACAGGCCAGGAGCAGTGGGAGTGAACAGGGCCTGCTGTAGCCTCAGGCCTGGCCAGATCCAGCCTGCTTGGGGAAGCCTGCCTTCACTCAGGCAGGCCACGCTTGTTCAACGATGTCCTGGGGCAAACTCCTTCTGTCCAGGATCACATTTCTGTAAATACCCATGTAATAGCCAGGTGTGGTGGCTCATGCCTGTAATCCCAGCACTTTGGGAGGCAGAGGCAATTGCCTGAGTCTGGAGTTTGAGACCAGCCTGGGCAACTTGGCAAGACTTCGTCTCTACAACAAATTAAAAAAAAAATCAGCCGGGTGTGGTGGCACATGCATGCGGTTCTAGCTACATGGAAGGCTGAGGTGGAAGGATGGCCTGAGCCCAGCAGATCGAGGCTGCAGTGGCCGTGAGCATGCCACTGCACTCCAGCCTGGGTGACAGAGTGAGACTCCAACTCAAAAAAGAAAGAAAAGAAAGTTACAAGACTTACGTGTTAAGATTTTACTACATCAAAAGCTTAAACCAGCCGGGCTCAGTGGCTCAGCCTGTAATCCCGCGCTTTGGGAGGCTGAGGTGAGTGGATTGCTTGAGTCCGCGGGTTTGAGACCCACCTGGGCAACTCGGCGAGACCTCATCTCTACAATAAAAATCAAAAAATTAGCTGGGCGTGGTAGCGTGCGCCTGTAGTTCCAGCTACTTGGAAGGCTGAGGCGGAAGGCTTGCCAGAGTCCAGCAGGTCAAGGCTGCAGTGGTCGGAAGCGGCCACTGCACTCCAGTCTAGGTGACAGAGTGAGACTCCAAATCAAAAAAAAAAAAAAAAAAAGTTTCAACCAAAAACGGATATACACTGACTCAAATACTTCATTATACCAAAATAAAAGACAGACATCTTAAAAACAGCTACATATAGTTAGTACAGGGTACTTAACAAAACATTTATTTTACTTTAACATTTTATATTGAATCTGATATTTTTCCCCAAATACTTTTCTTACCTAACAAAAATGGGGGTGCATCAAGAAAAGACACTTATAGCCCTGAGATTCCTGTGTTAATTTTGTTACACGGGATGCTATTCTCACCCCAGTTTGTTAATTTACCAAGGAAATTAACACTCATAATCCACTCCTGCTGGACATGGTGGCTCACACCTGTAATCCCAGCACTTTGGGAGGTAGAGGTAAAAGAACTGCCTTGGAGACCAGCCTGGGCAAATTGGCAAGACCTCATCTCTACAATAAATCAAAAAATTAGCTAGGTGTGGTGAGGCACACCTGTAGATCCAGCTACTTGGAAAGCTGAGGCAGAAGGATCACCTGAGCCCAGCAGGTAAAGGCTGCAGTACCCTGAGCATGCCAATGCACTCCAGCCTGGGTGACAGAGTGAGTCTCTGACCCCTGCCCCTAAAAAAAAAAATCACTCCTTTGATTTTACCAAAACAACAAAGAAAGCACACACTCTCTCACATGCCTTTAAAGTCCTGTAATAGGACGAACTTACAGTAAAAACATTTTATGGAAAAAAAAAGAAGTCAATTTCAATCAGCGACTCCGCAGTTCTTGGCCTCTCACTGGGAAGCTGCAAGATGTCCTTGAATAAGATCCTGAACACGGGACAAAATGATCTCATTGGAGCTGCTGCAGTTCTCTGGGTCATAGGGTGGGTCTATGGTCAGGACCCCCGCCACACAGAGCGTCCTCTGTGCCTCTCCCTGCTCCGTGACAGGGATGTGGTTCTTCTCCAGCCACTGCTTCAGGCTGGCCTTCCTCTCTTCCAAATCCTTGGGGCTGTATGCTTCGCAGTCTCCAGACGTGAACAAATGCATCAGTCTCTCCTTCACTCGATGGTCGCCCTCAGTCACAGTTTCAACAGTCTGCACAGCATGACCCATAATTCCAGTCACGGACATGCTGCCATCTTCAGGGAAGTTCACAAGGACGATACTTGGGAGGAAAAGCAAAGTCAGAGCAGATTTGCAGAAGAAAGACCTAAAGGTTCATAAACCTAGGGAAGAAGTGGGTTATGAGAGGCACCTTCAACCCAAAACAGTCCCTTCCATGATGGAAATTGATTCTCTCACCACCAAGTGCCGTCACCAGTTCAACACACATTCTAAACATCTAAACTTATCCTAAAGCTAATTATTACAGGATACAACTCAAGCACAATTAAAGAGTTAGGAATGCTTTATTTATTTATTTACTTTTTGAGGTGGAGTCTCATTCCGTAGCCCAGGATGGAGTGCAGTGGCACACTCACAGCCACCTCAGCATCAACTTGCTAGGCTCTGGCGATCCTTCCACCTCAGCCTTCCAAGTAGCCAGAACTACAGGAGTGTACTACCATGCCTGACTAATTTTTTTTTTTTTTTA